AAAAAAGTAAAATTCAGTGCATACATATCCTGGTAGGTGTGGTTGACATTAAAGAGACTTGGTTCCCAAGCATATGTGTCTTCTACAGTAAGGAATCACAGTAGGCATTTAAGAAACCTATTAAGACCACACTGAGTGTCAAAATTTCTGTAACACGAGCTGGCATTCTGCGTGAAAGCCGTCTCGCTGTAGCCCATGCTGCCTGTGGATCAGCTCAACCACAAAGACAACAGAGCCAGCCCAAGACACAAGTTGAACACTTCCCCTAAGAAGTTGTCTGTTTTTATCAACATAGCATACAGCTCCCTTTCATGTGGAGCAGATGTAAATAAGAGGATGTACAGACGCCTGTTCTTTTATTTTTAACCTCTGTTCCCAGTCATACTTCTCAAAAGTACTGTTTTGAGAAGGTCATCCACGGCTTTTAAAGGTCTGGATACAGCACCGTTTGGAGCACATCAGTGCTGCTCCCAGAATTGCCAGGTGGTCCTCCCTTCACAGAGCAATATGTATCTCCAGTGCCTCCATAGGCGCCTGGTCGTGGCTGGCCAGGGAATGGGGGCTCAGGCTTGAGTCTGCAGCTCGCATCTCATGTGTGGTACTGCAGGCTGCTGCCACTGGACCACACGCGATTTGGCAAAGAGAAACATCCTTCGTTGTGTACAACGTTGGCAGAGATAAGAGCATAGAAAAAGTTGTAGCACATCTGTCTTCTGCCCATAAGCTAGCATGTGAGCACAAATGGATCAAACGAGCTGGTGCTGAATATCAAATCCAGAACTACACGGTGGAGAGTACAGAGAAGTTTCATATACATATTTTCTCTAAGTAGGCTGGGGAAGGTGAAGATATGTAGCGGATGAGGAATTTGGTTTAGTATCTGCATAGTCTAATTCCTTGCTCTTCCATAATCTCCCCTGATCAGCTAGCAGCTAATGCACCGGTGGCAGACTTCTTCTTTCTCTCTGATCCTTATTGCTGTCCTGTCTCAGCTTTCTTATAACAGATCCTGAAAGTATACTTGCAGATTTAGCAATAGTCGCTGTGTCTGCAAGGAGAATTGAGCAGAGGAAGCTTCGGCTGTTCAGATTCATGTGGATTCCAGGTGTTTCAGGGTAGATCCCAACTCAGCGACACAGCAATGTCAAATGTCTGGATCCAGGCCTGTAAAATTTTATTGACAACGAGTTTCCTAATAAAGTTAGTTTCTCTTTGTTTGGCAAATAGAACTAATTACATGAATAATGGACTGTGGGGCCAGACTCTAGAATATCCATATAATCCTGTTTGAAGTTTATGGGAAGTAGGAGGGGGAGCTTTTGCTGTAGAGAAACTGATACCTGCTTAGGAAAAATACTTTCTCTGAAACCTCAAGTTACTTACTCTCCTAAATCTGTTTCCTTCCTAATAGCTTGTTTAAGTTCTTCTGATTATGTCTTTTAGGTGTATTTTTCCAAAGGTACATTGTTTGTGGTTGTACAGTATATGAACATTAGCCTGCAAAAGTTTATTTTTCCCCTTAGTTTTTTAATATTATTTTAGAAGAAGCATTCATTTAAAATTATTTCTGCCAGACCATTATCTTCTGAAAAGATAATGAAATCAGTAATTCACTCACTCTGATGGCAGTATTTTTGTGGGCTTTAAAGTTCTCTTTTTAGCTAAGTTCAGTCTCAGTGTGATCATTTTTTTAAATGTAAAATTCCAGTTTTCTGCATAGTCTAAAAACCTGTTTGACAAAAATTTTCGGAAAAGTTAATGTATTCATAGACTTCAGAATGCTTTAAAAAGTGCCAGGTTTATAATCTGTTATATATCTTGAATAATTCTATAGGGTTTTTTGCTTTTTTTCTTTCTTTTATTTTCTTTTTTTTTTTTTTTTCCCTTTGTTTTTCTGTGGTAGATATGGTCCGGAAAAAGAACCCCCCTCTAAGAAACGTTGCTAGTGAAGGTGAGGTACAGACCCTTGAGTCTACAGGTACTGAAAGTGAAGAGTCCGGAAGGAAAAAAGAATTTTCCACAGAGCAGATGCAAGAAAACACTGACCAGGGTGATGCGGCAGAGTTAAATAACAAGGAGGAACTTTGCACGCATGTCCAAGAGCCATCTTCCAGCATTAAAAAGGACTTGAAAAGCTCAGTGCTGAGTGAAAAGGCTGGCTTCAATTATGAAAGCCACAATAAGGGAGGAAATGTTCCATCCTTCCCTCATGATGAGGTGACAGACAGAAATATGCTGGCTTTCTCATCTCCAGCTGTTGGGGGAATCTGTGAGCCCTTGAAGTCTCCTCAAAAATCAGATGCAGATGACACCCAAGATGTGGTCTGTACCCTGTCAGGAGATGCAGCGGAGACAAATAAGGAGCATCAGACGTCGCCAAAAGCTTCAGATGAAACAGTGCAAGTGCAAAGTGGTCAAACTGATGGCCAAGGCTCAAGCCCGGTCCCCATGGCCTCAAAAAACCCACAAGTGCCTTCAGATGGGGGTTTAAGGCTGAACAAATCTAAAGCAGATTTGTTGGTAAATGATAACCCAGATACGGCGCCTCTGTCTCCAGAGCTTCAGGACTTCAAATGCAACATCTGTGGATACGGTTACTATGGGAATGACCCCACAGATCTCATCAAACACTTCCGCAAGTACCACCTAGGACTGCACAACCGCACCAGGCAGGATGCTGAGCTCGACACTAAAATTTTGGCTCTCCACAACATGGTGCAATTCAGCCACTCCAAAGACTTCCAGAAAGTCAACCGCACTGTGCTTTCAGGGGTGCTGCAGGACATCAATTCCCAGAGGCCTGTCTTATTAAATGGGACTTACGATGTGCAGGTTTGTATTTTCGCAGCCTCCCTGCTTCTATTAACTGCCTTCTCAACTGCGAAGTCAGTTATTTGCAAAGCTTCTCCTACCTACATGAATAACATATTTCATATAACTGGTTTAAGCCTTAAGAACTGTTTTAGTCTATTTTAACCAGGCTTTCTGCAGGTCTGCTGAGCATCTTTTACAGTAGAGGAGTACTTAGCTTTTTGACCAGTGCTATTTCTGTGTATGATTTAGTCGTCATGGTAATCAATAGCAAAAGATCTTATTCAGCAAACAGGCAAATTGCTGAATTGGTAATCATATCTGAAGGATTTGCTGTCATGGAAAGAAAAGAGCAAATAATAATGAAAAATAACCACCAGATAGACAAAAGACAGCAGCTGGAAATTAAAAATGTAATCTGAAATTATCAGCTGCTGGGAGTCAAGATTTGGCTTATTGATTCCTTATTAAGATAAAATAAATGGCAAGTGTTGGCAACTCTGAAGTTGGCTAGTGCCAGAAAAACAGGATACACAATGGGTATTTAAAACATTTCAAAAAGTAACAGTAATCCATGCTGTCCTTCATCTTAGTGAGCCTGCAAGGAAAGGACTATTGCCTCAGTCATTTTCTCATCTAGTGGGAGCAGGCAAAAAACTACAGACACTGCTTTAAAAAAAATATCTTATTTTTACCATGAAAGAGTGAACTCAAAAGCTTTTTTTATTTTTTTCATAGAATCTCTGCGAGTTTCTTATCGGCTAATATTTAATTAGTGAAAAAAAAATTGACGCTGCTTTCAAAAAAAATCCTCTCATGAGTGAGCTGAGAGATGTGGTAGGATACCTCAATATTCTATGATATAAAAATTCAGATTTTAAGAAAGAAAAAAAGTAACAAAGTTTGTACACAAACCAAGTTCAAATGTCCATTCAATTTCAAGTGTATATTTGTGTACATGATGTCCGACCTAGTAGTAATTACCAGACAAATCTACAGGGTATGTTAAAAGAAAAAGGTAGAAGGTGGAAAATATTTAACAATGCTTGTAGAGACTGTATCTGTAGGAAAGATATTTTGCAAAACTGGTTAAGATGGCTAACATCTAACTGCAAGTAAGAAGCCAAAACCGGAGCACAAGTCAAGAACTTGAAGCTTTTTAAGTGGTTTAAACTTATCCTCTTTTTTCAGAAAGTCTACAACTTCTTTATGGAGCAGCAAATCAAACTAAGGTCGTTACTATGCATAAAAACTGCAATCTTTGAACTGCTGTCTTATTAAAAGATCACTTCACTGTCTTGTGTCAGACACTCTCTCCTGTCAGACTGTGATTAGAAAGCAAATACATGATTTAGTTAAAAGAGGTTAGAAGTGAATAGTGTCAGAATGTGAAATGATGGTTTATAATTAGCACATAGTATGATGTTAATACCTGGATTTCCTGCTATAGTTTCAGTTCGCTGACTCCAGGGACAGCATCTTAGAGCAAGTGATCCATGCTGTCAGGAAGACATTCAAACTGTAACAGCTCAGGCAAAGAGTATAGAGGAATTTTAGTTTCTAAACACACTTTCATTTCCTCCAAACAATTGTTTCATTAGGTCCTTAGTTATTTATAGGAAAGTTTATGCTTGATTAGAATGAGCTGGACACTTTTCCTATGCAGTGCTTTCAGAAATAAAACAGATGTGTGAGCTATCTCAGTTTGAACTCATAGAAAGAGAAATAAAACAGCTGAACCTAAACTATACTTGTCTACTAAACTCTGGCAGTAAGATACAGCAGGGAAGACAAAAAGCGGTAGGAAACAGCCCATAGATAATCTACTTAAGATCAGTCTTTTCTCAGACAAAAAACATTTTCCAAAATAGAACAGACAGCCTATACAATGTTGGCAATTTATTTTAAAGAAAAAAAATTGGATCTGGAAACTTAATTTCTAGAGTGCTAATTTTCCCTGCCCAATTTGGGAAGAGAAGATTAAATAAGCTTTTGTGGCAAATGCCATACTTCATCACTTGCACATGCACCAGATGTTGATCCAGAACATGTCAGAAGATAAGTAACTGATTAATATTTTTATGCTTTCTCCTCCCCCACTTGCAATACAGAGCAGCTTTGTGAGATTCGTAAACACAGCAAAAGAACATTTGAAAATCCTCTTCGCACCCACACATGTTTATATTGCTACTATGTCCATTTTGGAGGGGATTTTTCTTAGGCATCTGAACGGCTGGCATCTCCTGCTGCAACAAGGGATCGTGTCTATTTGACCTCTGGTTAAAATTGGTTCAAACTCCTGTGTAACATGGAGAGGGAACTGAACCTGAGTAGTTGCGTCATCTAAACAATATTATTTTGTATAGATACTGGGCTAAGGGAGAATAATCCCTTTGTAATTAACTTGAAATAGTAGTGGACTGGGCTTAAGATCTGATTTATTGATCCCCTTGTACTTGACAAACTGTTCTGTTGTAGCTGGGCAGGAAGTTATCGATGGATTTATGGTCTCAGGCCAGGCAGCTGGGCGCAGAAGCCAGAGGATGAAGATGACTGACTTTGATCTGGCTCACAGTGGTCAGTCAGAGACCACAGTATATGAAGATTTGTAGTAGTGAGGGATGCTATTGAGCCCTGTAGTTTGTGTTCATAACCAAAGCAGACAAAAAACAATGGAAAAATGTCTGAGTGCAGAAAAAAACAGTATCTTCTATCCTATCTGCAGCTAGGTAGGGATGTGGTACCTTTGCCAAGGACTTGGAAGGAAGAAATCAAACACATTTTTGGACTTACACCACAGAATTGAAGTCTGTCCTACCAAACTTAACCACCCCCCAACCCTAAACCCAACTTTTAGGGTTTGTGGGTTTTTTTTGTATTGCAGTCAGCAAAACAGTAGGGGTACATATTTGGCTTCATAGCCAGGTACACAGATGTTGGGACTGTGCTTTGTAGTACCTAAAGAGGGTTTGGCTGGGAACTGTGTAAATGATCCAAGCTTTCTGGCCTTACTACTGTGTAGATTTTTACTTGATTTTAACATTTAATCCAGCAAGATTCCTTTTTCTTCTTTGAAACTGTTATTTTGTTTTGAAAATCTCCTGTACCCTTTGTTTCCATTTTTTTCTCCAGGGGTTTTGGGTTCATTAATTTATAATAAATTCCATAGGATTGGATAAAATCACTGAGCTGTTTCTGGGAGATTAACTTTCTTGCCAGTATAGATTTCAGAAAACGTTTGCTAGCACATCTTGGCATTCCCAGAGAATGTGTTAATCAGCTTTTTGCTTTTATCAGAATAATACTTGAAGTGAGTTCAGTGGATCAACTTTTGCTGATACCCCTTATTACTTTTTCTTCACATTTAGTTAATTGATCAATCTCTATGGGCAGCTTTGTCTTTCTGAATACTTTAGCTTATGTATGGCTCTGTGGAGGTGCCTAAAGCAGTAGACCTTACACCGGAGCTAAAGACTTCACTTAAAGTAAAATTCAGGTGACTAAGTTAACAGCTATGATCCTGAAAATCAGTGCTTTGCTGCTGTATGATTAAATCTCCTTCTGTGTTTCATCTAATGACTTTAATATATATGGAAAGGTCTGGAGACAGGCAAGCTGCTGACAAGTAGGCAGGAGTATTTTTTCCATCCCCAATTTTTTTTAGAAATAGTGAGTGGGACAGAAAGGTTGGAGAGTGCTGTCTTCCACTTATCAGCGTATAACTAAGGGATAGGACATTGCCCAGCAAAGGGGAAGAAGTGGGCTTGAATCCCCTCTGACAGCAAGGAAAGGAGCCTACTTTTCCTGTTTCCTGAACAAGTGTTCAAGCCATTAGGCTATTGTATAAAAGGGAGCATGACCCCATTTCCTGAAATATTTTAAAAGAAAACAGTGTCCCTCAAAGAAAGGACAGAAATGTCTGCATTCAGGTGAGGGTTTCAGATGGCATGTCCCAAGGGAGAAGGGTATTCATGCAGCCATGAATAAAGACATACTGCAGTGCTCAGCAGTTCTTACGGTTGACTCCAGGCAGCTTCACATTGTGTGTGCTACCTTTGAGGAGCTTCCTGCTCAGCATGGCCCTGGTTCTGGAGCTTATTGTCGCAGACCTACCTCCTCTTATGTTTGGCCATTAAAGAAATTCAGACTCCTGTCTGAAAGTACTAAAAAGTAATTTATTTTTTTTTCATCCAGTGCTCTCATTTTGATTGTTTCACTGTTTTAGATACTAGACTGCCATATAAGATAAGAAGACAAATTTCTGAAAAGCCGTGGACTGATAAAAGCCATCCAAAATTTTCTTGATTGTATTTCAGTGAGCCTGGGGGAAAAGAAAAAGAAGAAAGTAGTGTATTATCTGACTATCCCACAGACTAATGAGAGATTGGCAGCAGATTTTTTCTTTTATGGTTCTAGACATCCAATATTACAAGGGTTGTCTTATACCACTCAGCCTAATCCTTTGTCATATATGAATATGGGTAACAAGTTTTCCAGGTTTTTCGAAGCAACTGAGAGCACTTCTGGATGTCCAGCTACCAGGCTGCTCAGTGTCCTAGAAAGCAGTAGAAGTGCCCATGCACACAGAGTATATAAAGCTCTTCCTTTTGCCTCCTTTATACATCAGTGGTGAGCTCCATGAGCCTACACAAAGTTACACATGTGTGTTTTTTAGTGATCTGAATTTCAGTGTATTAAATCTGGCAGCTTTTCTGTTCTCATGTTAGAAGTATGTGACTAGTATAAAGTCTGGTCTAACTATGATTCAGCTGAATGGGAACCAGTGGTTTTATTAGCAGCTTCTGCTTTTTATCCTTCACTCTTTATATTAGCAGTTTGATTGAATATGAAGCTGTGAAGGTAAGACTAAAAAAACTGTAGGGGGTCTGTAGGAGTACAGATGTAATCAACATCCTTTCTCACGTTAAAGGCTTTCCTCTACATTTTTCATGGTTTTGTCAAAGAGAGTCTTACAGAGAGAATCTAGACTGGAGGCATAAACGAGTAAAGCATTTACTTTT